CCCGCGCTTGAAAGCTTTTTTTATTTGGTGGCATGCATCATGCAGCCAGCCTTTTTGCACCTTCTTTCCTGTCAAACATCTGTCGTCCTCATCTCTCCTCCTCATTTCCTGTCAAACATCTGTCGTCCTCATCTCTCCTCCTCATTTCCTGTCAAACATCTGTCGTTCTCATCTCTCCTCCTCATTTCCTGTCAACCACCTATCGTTTTGGTCTCCTCCTTGTTATCTCTGTATGCCACTCTCGAGTAACCTCCTTTTACCTCCCGTATTTTTATCGCTACCTCAGAATTACAAAGTTCTATCTGACGTTTTGAGTTACATGATGCACTAAGACGATGAGGTCAGAAACCAGATTGTGCTATCTGCTCTATCAAAGTAAAATTACTCGGAGTCATTAAAGAGGTATTCAAAAAATTGCATTTGATAAAGATTGGCATGTGAAACTCAAAATCTTTGACATCAAACTTGTTAAAACTGGGTCCTGAGCAGACAGAACTTTGTATTTCTGTGATACCGTTTTGAACTGCTTGTTTTTCAAGTACCGTAAAACTGTGACTAAAACTTTACAAACCGTGACATAGGGGGTTCTCGTGGTCAAGAGGTCCCTTCTCAATCACAGGTCCCGGGTTCGAATCTTGATAATGACGGAAACTTTTCTTCTCTAAAATTGTCTCCTTTCACATCCTTTCCTGCTCTCTAACAATGTTCTGTTGTCTGCTTTCGTCTCCACTTTCTGCCCCCATCCCCTCACCTCCTTTTCCCCCTCCTCTGAGCTCCTGACTCTGCAGCCTTTCTACTGCTACTCCTTGGTTGCTTCTTACTGCTGTCTTTCAGCCATTCATACGATCTTCTGGTAAGAATGATCTACACCTAGCCTTCTCAGACAAGGGCAACAAATCTCGGAGGTCCCGTGTGCAAGTTGCGCTCGTTAAAGATTCTTAGGTGGTCTAAAATCTTTAAGAGTAGGCTTCGGCCTCCACCCGGGCAAAATCCAATATTTCCTACCAGCTCAAAATGTTTAATGTCCCCCGCGCGCTCATATGACCTTATGCAGTTGCGAGCGCCGTAAAACACGTACCAAATAGAAAACCATTCTGTGGTAACGTTATGGCCTACTTGTGTTACAAGTGCCGTAAAACTCTTTGCTAAAACTTCCCCAACCCTGACATCTCTCCC